AAGATATTTTATTGCAATGAATGAATGAACAACATTAGCAAATGGTGTGCGCCTAGGACCTGGGCGAGGCGCATACCCCAAAATGCACCTCAGGCGCGCCTTTTAAAACTACCCTAATTAAGCCACCAACTCCAATAAAGACTTAATAGAACTAGTATATCGTCATCCTTTTCTCTAAGCACACCACCAATTCTAAATGTGCTTGAGTTAGCCAAACTACAGTCATCAAGGTTTAACTTGATGAGATTCATAGCTGGAGGGGACAAGGAATAACTATTCTCAACAAGGATGAATCTACACCAATACCCAACTTCTAATGATATCATCGATATAGAAAGCTAGAACACTTCCAAAGTCTTCATTCAATAGGGCTGCAAGTTGGGTTGCTGATGAATAATTTCAACTACAGTGGGCTCGGATTAGGGTTCGGGCACACTGAAGTTCAACAAATTCCCAACCTGATCTGACCCAAGATGCACCCCTATCACCCAATGAGCTACCTTTAGAGATGCTTTTTCTATTAGAGCTTCCTTTGTCTAGCTTATCTTTAAAAATTCTGGTTTCCTTTCATCCCATACTGTCCAAACTAAAGCTGATCTTGTATATCTCTACATGATCTCACCCCTCTTATTTCCTGATGAGAAGAAAGAGGTGGTGAAAATACTTGCCACATCACCTAGAGCATCCCACTAACATTTAAAAATAGAAAAGAATGAACTCACGTATGCAAGACACAAGGACAACAAAAGTAGATTCACAACTTACCCTATAAAGAAAATACATGTGAGATGATAGACACCAAAACAGCCTTTCTCTTTTATAAATTCTCATAGGTATTTGTTTTTATGTGGACAACCTTCCAATAAAAAGCCCTCACTTTAGGTGACACCAGCTACCACCCCCCCAGCGGGAAAAAAAATACTACCATCACAGGGAAAGATCTATGACTCGAGGATGATGAGGATTAAGTATTAAGTTTTAAAAAAAAAATGAAGTGCAACAGAATCAACCAGAAGGACAAGAAAATAAAATTCTACACAAACACTTTTTTTATAGATAATTCTAGACAAACACTCTTTAGTAACTCAATAAGTCAAAGAGTTCTATTCTCCCTTAACCTCATCTAAAACCCAAGTTCCAATCCAACCCTGGCTTAGAAGAAATGGTGCTGTAGGAAATTAATTTGTCCTTGTATAAGAAAAGGGAGTAGAACGATTGAAATTGGAGCTTTAAAGGTTCCAATTTAGGGGATTGGTGTAATTCTTCTTTGTTTGCTTTATATGGTTGATGAAATTTGACTACACTATAGCTAGAGTCAAGTTTTGAAGAAAGAAAAAGTAAAACAGGTCCATCAAACTTGGCTTTGACTGTTAGGAAAATGGTCCCAAATAGCAAGAATTGTCAGAACTCCAGCATCTCAAAGCATTTGTTGTTATTGATTAAAAAAAAAAAAGAAAAGAAACATCTCAGAGCATTTGACTACACCTATAGATGCATGTAGAAAAGATCAATGGACTTGTTTTAAAAGGCGCGCCTAGGCGCACATGTGAGGCGCATTTTGGAGTATGCGCCTCGCCCAAGTCCTAGGCGCATGCACCTCAGCCCAGGCATGCGCCTTTTTAAAATTTTATGCTTTTTGCTTTTTTTTTTTGAGTCTAATGGTTGGGTTGGGGGCTCCACCCCCAAACCCCCAATCACATTCAAAGCCGCTTCACTCCGACTTCGCTCCGGTTCCCTCGCCCACCGAAGCTCCGAGAACCCACCATTTGCTAATGTTGTTCATTGTTTCATTATAACAAAATATCTTCTTAGAAGACAACGAAAGTTATAAAATCATTATTTTTTATGTGAGAAATAAGAATTTCAAACCCTAACATAGACTTGTTCGGGCTTGCCTCAAGGGGCGTGGTACAAAGGCGACTCATAGAATCAAGAATGCAATATGTTTTACATCACATCAACTACTTGAAGCAATGCAATTAAGGAAAAGAAGAGATTGTGGGTTTTACATACTTGAAAATGCTTTATATGTTTGCTTTTATTTTTAAATTTTCATTTGAATGCGCTTTACATGTTATGTTTATGCATTTTAATTTTAGATAATAGGTTTTTTAGAACATTTATTTTAAATTTTAAGTTTATATATTTTTATTAATATTATGTTTGATATTTTTTTATTGTTTTGCAATTTTTTTAAATTGCTTAGTATCATAAGATTTAAATTGCTTAAAAAGGTGTGTGGCTCGCCTTGCACTTTTAAAACACTGAATGGACCATAGTATCAAAAGATTTACTTGAAGTTACTACTGTTAGCAGAACTTCTAGGTACAAAATGAAAACAGAAATCAAGAAGGAGAAGAGAGAAGAAGAGAAAAGGAGGAAAGAAAGGAGAAGAGAGAACAAAGGAAGAGCAAGAGAGTGATGGGCTAAAATCACTTACTGCCGCCCAAGGCAGTATTATTTATATGTTCAATATAACATTAGGTAAAAAGACAAGAATGTCGTGCTACCTACAATAGTACAAGTAAACAAGTATAAATGCAAGAAATAAGAAATAAACTGAACTTATGGGACCACATAAACAAGGAACATCATGTATGGTCCACTCTCTCACTACACTCCCCCTCAAGTTGGGAATAGATTCCCAACTTGCATAAGTCTGATTCCAATTTGACTCCGGTGACTGCTTTGGTGAAGAGATCAGCAAGCTGCATATCAGAGGCGACATAAGGCAAACAAACATCTTGAGAAGCAACTTTCTCGCGGATGAAATGATGGTCAACCTCAATATGTTTAGTTTTGTCATGTTGGATGGGATTACGAGCAATATTGATGGCAACTAGATTATCACAA